TTCACTACACTTTCTACTTCTTACTATCACCATCGGTTCTCGTAATTATGAGTGTACTTTCAATTGTTTTCTTTTTCATTATTAATTGGTGTTTTTACTCCACGCTTCTTTCGTTATATCTTCTACCTTTCTCACTGTCGGTTATCTCTTATTATTGATGTTTCTTCTCCATGTCTCTTTCATAATACTACCCCTCCTACACTCAAGTCATCGCTCACGTATCAAGTTCGTCTCGGAACCAGTTTACAGGTGAAGGAGGAAGCTGTGTGTCAAGCTCTCCCGGTATTACCTTACCACCTGGCCCATCACCTGTCCCATCTTGCCTTTCCTGTGTCACTTAGGTTGTGGTTGTATGTTCTGTTGTGAGGCGTTGTACAGTGTCTCTTGGGTTGTGAGGTACAGTATTGTAATCACTCATGTAATAGGTTATGATGTATTCTGTGTTACATAGGGTATGAGGTGTTCTGTGTCACTTAGGCTGTGAAGTGTTCTGTGTCACTTAGGCTGTGAGGTGTTCTGTGTCACTTAGGCTGTGAAGTGTTCTGTGTCACTTAGGCTGTGAGGTATTCTGTGTCACTTAGGCTGTGAAGTATTCTGTGTCACTTAGGCTGTGAAGTGTTCTGTGTCACTTAGGCTGTGAGGTGTTCTGTGTCACTTAGGGTATGATGTGCAGAGCCGGATTCAGGAGTGGGCAAAGTGGGCAGCTGCCCAGGGGCCTCCACAATCTGGGGGCCTCCACATATTTCAATATTTTATTTATTTGTTTATTCATTTGGATTATTTTTATTTTCATTCTTTAAAATTCATGTTTATCTATTCCATCACGTAAAACTATGTTCAGCAAGAAGCGTGATAGAAATTAGGCTAGCTACTCCTTGAAATTCATGAATACCTGGTTTTCCTATGAACGGTATATTTTTAATGAATGCTATTGTTTGTGTTGCTAATAATATATTTAGAATTCCACAAACATTATCCATGGTCAATGGCAGTTATTTTTATTAAAATTCTTGTTTTTTCCAACATGTTCATACTTTTGTTATAATTTTATCAAATTCATTAAATTGTTTATTTGTTTTACTATTGGATGCAAAACTTCAATTTTATTTATAGTTGAGTTAATACTTATTCTGAATCTATCTGACCTTGGACTTAAAGAAGCCTATACATGCATTCTTGGACAGAACCATTATTTGAGTAGAGGTTTATCTGATTAATAATGCAAAGAATCATCTCTCTGTAATAAACAATAATATATTCTTTTCTGTGAAGTCTCTTGAAAATTTTTGACATGTGCGGTAGTAGCTATATCAGGGCTGGTCGACTTTAAACCACATGAATGACTCCAATCATGTCTCACTTTTGTGTGTGTGTGTGTGTGTGTTGGGAATTTGTACACTATCAATAAATATACAGTTAATTAAAAATTTCTCAATGTTCTAATTTCTTCAATATAACTGCATATGGCTTCAAAATTCTCCAAAGAAGTGTTCAAATTTCAAAATTTTCCCGGGGGGCTTACAGCGCCCCCCAGAACTCCCAGATGTTTAGGGTTGCTTCACTCGCCACCCCACCCTCTTGGGTAGTTATAATGAGGGGGGCCTCCACAAAGAGGCTGCCCATGGGCCTCCACAGGTCTAACTCCGGCACTGATGATGTGTTCTCTGTCACTTAGGCTGTGAGATGTTCTGTCACATAGGCTGTGAGGTGTTGTGTGTCACATAGGCTGTGAGGTGTTCTGTCACATAGGCTGTGAGGTGTTGTGTGTCACATAGGCTGTGAGGTGTTCTGTGTCACAGGCTGTGAGGTGTTTTGTGTCACTTAGGCTGTGAGGTGTTCTGTGTCACTTAGGCTGTGAGGTGTTGTGTCACTTAGGCTGAGAGGTGTTCTGTGTCACATAGGTTGTGAGGTGTTGTGTCACTTAGGCTGTGACGTGTTCTGTGTCACATAGGCTGTGACGTGTTCTGTGTCACATAGGCTGAGAGGTGTTCTGTGTCACTTGGGCTGAGATGTGTTTTGTGTCACTGTTTGTCACGTGTTATCTTACATCGCTCATTTTAATCTAATCAATGTGATAATGAGTCAGGGTGATGGTCTCATGAAAATGTCTCTTTTTTTTCAAGTGTTGGATGAGATATGATTTTTCCCTGTTATGATATACACATGACTTACATTGATACTCCAGTCATACGATTATATCTATAAAAATCCACTTTTTGTAATAAAGGTAAAAATCTTAGTTCAAGAATAATTAATTTGAACTTAAGAAACCATAATCCACAATTCCCAAAAATACAAGGGATTTTTTTATTATTTTACTCGTCCCACCTACCAAGTTTTATCAAAATTCACATCTATTTATTGGAGGTATCGCGTTCACAACATACTTGGACTGGAACACACACAACTCACGGACAGACAGACAAGTAATACATCAACTGCTAAGGCCAACGAATAACATTTTATGGTAAATTAGAACTCTACCTTACAGAATGTAAACCTGAGATGGCCATAATTTCAAGATTTTATATAATTTGTAATTAATTCAACTGTTTGGTCCATAGTTATCTAGGAAATATGCTGACACTAGTATATTTACTTCTGTTCCTCGAAATAGGGACATGGAGACATCGAGAATAAGACCGTAATTATATAACCACATTGATGAAATATGGCGGTTAAGTTGAATCATCGCCGAATGTGTTGAGCTCCAGCTGTAATACCGTTGTTTAACCAGTGTAATGTCAGTAGATATACATTAGATAACTATTACTCATTTTGTTCTTTCACAATGGAGCATGTACTGAGGTTACAAACAACAACAATGCATCATGAATAATACTAACACCTCACCCGAACACAAGTCTCATGACGACATATCCGTCCGGCCAGATAAAGAGTAATAAAAGGCTAGGCATCACTCACCAGCACTCAGTATAGTATAGAAAAACATCACTGCTACAATACCAGGTAGGTTAGCTTACTAGAAACAAGTGTCAACATTTTTCGCAGCTACAGGCTTGCGCGGTGATACTCATCACTTATGTTGCTTGTATATTATTTGTAATTCGAAACCCATTCCCCAAATATGTAACTGTATATTTTCAGCCTTCTGGCTGCCAAGCTCTTTCAATAAACCGTTAATTATTATTATTATTTTTATTACTCATAATGGAAGGTTCCGTCGTATAACCTTGGACGATAGACCATGATACAAAGAGTTGCAGATAAAGGTGTAATTAAAGGAGAAATACAATAATAATGATATCTCAGCCGCGGCAGCAGCTCTGAGTGTACTTGCTGGTACAAACATTACAATTTCTATTCAGTTATATCGTGGAAAATTAATATCCAATTCGTATTCGTTCAACAAGTAATGTATACAACCAAAATATGATGTAATTGTTGCAGTTTTGTGTTTACAATGACGTTTTCAGTGATGCTCTACGTATACCAGATAGACCAACAGTACAAGTAGTCATGGTGTCCACATTTCTCCATGTTGTGCACGATAAATATTCCTTGAAGCTGAAAAAAAATGCTTGAGGATGCATCTAATGGACTTGAGAGAGAGAGAACGTCCAAAAATTACACTAACTAGGAGGCAAAATTAAACACACACAAACTTTGGGAAGATTCTTCAATTTAAATTTGGCTGGTATTAATTTAAATTATATTAGTATATTTTGCATGCTATGTTTCGAAGCTATTGTTGTGCTAATCAATAGGTTAGGCGTGGTCTTAAATCTTAAGTTAAAACTAAGTTATCGTACGAACCTTGGAGAGTCTGGAGCCTTGATAATTATAGGCCTATATTAATTCACCAGCCCCCGGGTCGTGTCTGGATTTAAAATGCTAATCAGTTCTTTGTCAATCCAATTTCGGTTTTGTTGTTGCGAAGCGTTAAAGAATATTATCTTATATTAAACAGCCGGATTTTAAGAGAAAACCCAACAATTACTGTTTCGTCTTTCGGTTCGTTTAACAGCACCATAATAATTGACTATTACAACCAGTCCTGTATAAATTAGCTTTACGTACTTAGTGACTGTGAATGCACGCAATATTCTAATTCAGTTGAAAAGTAAAGTGGTAGCACATGCAGGTACTAGAGAGGAAATAAAAAATTGGGTTAGGGCATGTTTAACTCACAGGAAACAGTCGGTATAAGTGATACAAAATTTCAATTAGGGTAACGTCACTTCTGGCGTATTCCTATAGGCCCAGTACTCGGAACGTTACTGTTTATTACTGTTTATCATTAACGACACAGCTGTAGGTGATGACAGCATCTTAAGTTAATTTGCTAAGGGCACACATATAGGGCGTATAATTAAATCTAATGCAGACTGAAAAATTACAAGGAAGACCCAAACAAACTTTTAGTATGAACTGAAAAATGGTAGATGCAATTTAATGTGGAAAATGTTAGTCTGAGACTATGGCAGCTCTTTATTCGATGCATAATGTTGAGAGATACGAGTTATCTTCTCGTGTTAGCTACCTTCGGAATTTAATGACGTAGCGAATTCTTATCAGCCAGGCCTTGGAAATAGCTGCTACATGATTCACACTTGTGTGTTATTGATAAGGACTCGCCAAGTGTGGAACGTGTGATGTAAGCGATTCTTCTGAGTAATAGTCCACGAGTATGTCCTGCCCTTGCTCAAGATTACACATCACTTCAGAGAAATACATATTTTGATATTTAATTGTTGATGTTTAGTGTATTACCTTAGTTATTGAAGCGCAGTAATGAATGAACAACCTTACATTTCCACTGATCGAAACGTTTAGCGACCTTAGCTTAACTGATCGTCGCGGCATCCTTTTATGAATAGTGTATGACAAAAAGGTATAAATAACAATGTAACTCGCCCTACAACAATTGCACTGTTTGTAGACATGGCGAGCATCAGCCCATTTTTTTATTTATTTTTTATTAAACAATACTTGTCCTGAATGAAATTCATACTTCTAATGTTCATTTTCTTCCGCAGGCAAGGAGTAACCGGAGCTTCTGAACCAACATCATCAACCGAACTTCAAAAACCATACATCATCACAAATAAAGGATTTATCGATATTTAAAGAGTTACTATTTATCTGTGAAAGAAAAAAGTGGAGACCCATACATTTGTGATAATTGTGACACACTAACCGCCACCATTCAAGACACACTCGACATGTTGAACTGGGCCAAGAAGCATGTTCGCCATAAACACAAAGAACCTGACGAGCAACAAGACTCTGAGACAGAACACAGCTCGGATAAGGAGAGGTCAAGTCCAGAGAAAAAAAATCCTTCAGAGAAAAGAACTCCCCCCAGCTTTGCTCGACGCCTCGCCTCTTTCCGGAAGCTGACCTCGGACAGAAAGAGCCCAGATAAGGGATCGAGAGGAAAGAGCAAAAGCCCAGAGAAAGGGCTGAAGGTTGAGAGTAAGACTCCTGAGACATCCCGACATCCTAGCCAAAATGCGGACAAAAATGGTCCTTCTGATACAGAGTCATGTCCTGTTAGCGAGTCCAACACTCCTGAAAGACAACCAAGTCCGGCTGCTCTTCGCCAAAGCCCAAGGAGACAATTAGCAGAGGGTAGAGACAGCAACACATCACCAAAAACGAGCCCCAACCTCTGTTTGAATTCGAAAACGAAGACAGTTCCAGACCTAGAGCCTAGTGAGGATAAAATTCACACGCAAACTACTTCAGAGCCTGTCATCAAAAGTTCTAATTTAGAAAAACAGTCGGATTCCGTGATTGACGTGAGTGTAGACGGGGAGCAAAACTCTGACACACACACAACTCCGGAGAGATTCTCAACCCCTGAGAGATACAGCACCCCAGATAGGTATGAGACCCCTGAGAGAGACCAAAGTCCCAAGAGAGATCCCAAAGCTGATGTACCCACAACTCCAGGAAAACAAACTAGTTCCAGTGACATTCGGGATTTAGTGATCAGAGAAAGTGATGAAGTGGAAAACACGGGCAGTAAAGACCCATCAGACGATTCTAATCATTTTAACTTAGATAAACCTAGTAACGAATCAAGCATGATGTCTGTAGTGACTGAAAATAAAAATAATACAAAAAACTCGGGTGTTACTGATGCATACAGTGAAAATAAATATTTACAGTCAATAAATAATAACAATATTAGTAAGGAACTAGCGGATAGGGTGCAAGACGACAATGCGAGTGAAGGAGTCACGGAAAAACAGAGTGCGAAGGAGGTGTTGGAGGAGGACGAGAAAGAGGCGCCACACAACATTGTAGCTGACGGAAGGTAAGACTATATTAAATATAATTCCAACCTTAAATAACTACCGGTACTTTCAAATATAACAACGTTCTCAAAATGTAACATCTGCTATGATTAGAATACCAATTATATTTGTTTGAAATTGAAACTAAAATAGTTTATTTAGGAGAAACCAAAGTATAGTAGAGTGAACCCGATTCGGTTAATTACTTATATTATATACGTAAAGCAAGTAAGGCATATAGTGTGTTTAGAAAAAAAAATAATATACACGACAAACTGTTATCCACAAAAACTACATCAATTACTGAATATAATGGCTCGGTTAATTCGCAAGGAGTTTAAGCCAGGGTTCTGGAGTGTGTTTAATTGCCTGCCGTATGTCGTCTTCTTGCTAGCTCTTACCACCTGTAAATGGTTATTCATTTTCTGTTGTGTGGATCAAGAGGTAAAAAAAAACTCCGGAGAAGAGGGCAAATAATGGTAGCGGTGTGGAAAGCGGCAAAAAAGAGATAAGACAATAAGTTGTATTATCTATTCATACTTGCTCATATACAGTACACTGAGTACAGTATATAAAGCGAATTTTAGCGTCCACATGGAATTTAATTATTCCTTGTTTCCTCTCTATAATTATGGTACTTGTTCGCTGGTCAAGTGTTGCTGTTGGTACTGTTGGTATACTTGCATCGACGATACAAGAATACCTCAAGTCCAACTTTATTATTTACATCATTTACGCAATTAATAATCAAAATATTAACGTAGTTACGCTCTTTACTAAAATGCCAGCATATTACTCCAGTAGTAACTAAGGTATTTATCATATTGATATTTGTTATGCAATGTAAAAATCTGTAATCACTTTATGCAAACTCAAATATTTGAATGCTGTTAAGCAAGTGTTAGATGAGTAAATAATGAGTCAATTAAATTTGAAATTTCGTAAATACTGTCTGCATGTTTTTTTAGGTCACCCTGTATATTTAAGCCTCTCTCTGTCCATGTAATCCAGTTGCCTCTGAAGATGTCTTGAATAAAGACGAAAGCTAAGTACTCCGTTGTTTCCATTTTCCCGTGTGATTTTATCAAGATATATATATATATATATATGCAAGTAAATCACTGTAGGTTTTGTATAATCACACGGGGAAAAGGGAAACAACGGAGCACCTTAACTTTCGTCTTTATTCAAGCAAGACATCTTCAGAGGCAACTCTGTTGCCTCTGAACTTCTGAAGATGTGAATTACAGGAAAGCGCTTGGAAACTTCGTGTTTTCTTCTTTCCTTGTGGTTATCAGCATATATATATATATATATATATATATATATATATATATATATATATATATATATATATATATATATGTATATATATATATATATATATATATATATATATATATGTATATATATATATATATATATATATATATATATATATATATATATATATATATATATAATTTATAATTTATATTAAAGAGCTGATAAGTATATGTAAGACGTATATAATAGATCCAAGGGTGAGGTGATGAGATATAAAGAAGGTTTTATAAGGGGCCATTGTTATTAATTGGGAGTCCGTTATGGTTGGTTGCTTCCTCACTTTCCACATCTTCCACAGCTTATAATATTTATTTTTACGTGTGTGGTTGTATTCATGCGTATGTTCTACGACGTCAGTGACGTCGACAAATATAGTCAAGAGTCTCACTGGGGGCAGTAAATTAATAAGGGAAGGGCAACAGATCGCGTCCGTGTATGGGGTAGAAGAGAGCGAGGCCTATCACTGATGTTAAACTTAATCGGTGTCGCGCGACAAACCTTCCGTGCGCAAAACCTTCCGGGGTAAATGCTTAGTTTTGGGTATTAAATTTAATTATAAAGTTAGTAAAATTAATACAACTTTGGTGGTTCTCCAGTTCGCTTTAAGTGTTTATTGTTTACTTCTTCACGCGGTGCACGCATGATCAGCCTCCACCATTGGTTAAGTATGGTAAGATTTTGTAATGTTAGGTTAGGGCATGTTAGGTCAGGATTCTTTGGGTTTGGTTGGTTCATTTTTTGTTTTCTTACCCCACAATTTCCATCGACTTCAAAGCACTGACCACTTTGTGCTTTCATTGTCATTGGTAGTGAGTATGTTTGATATCATCTTTATACTGTAGTCAGTTTGCCCAAGATATAATGGGAAATTCATTCAAAACCTTCCGTTGCCGTATTTATTAATATTTTCAGCTCTCACAAATCAACCACAAATCAATCATACATCTTAGATGTCGATAATGAACATCAGTAATTGCTGAGCCCGGGAGGTTTATCGCATCTGAAGATTTGTCGCATGACACCGGCAAGGTAGTGGGCTCGTAACACACGTCTTGCCCGCGGTGCCCACCGTTTCTCTGTGGATGTCGGTCATACTCGAATAACTCGTTATAGTACATCCTTCTTTCCTGCTCTGCCTTCTTCTGTATTTCCATACTTATACATTCTGTCTCACTTTAAAAAGGTGGTTTTCCGGCATCTTCGTGGTGTAGATTAACACACTATAACCTTTTTCTTCTCTATTTTAAATTTTTTTCTGTTCTTATTTTTTCGCCCCCTAGGCCCCGTTGTGGGTAGTTCGACCTGTGCCCGGGTGGGCTAATTCCCGCTAAAAAACAAAAAACAAAATAATCACCAGTACGAATGTTAGCTGTTATCTTGCTCGCAGATATGCCTTCCAGGGTGTCTCATCTCATAGTTAATCCATAACTAGGGCAGATGTATTTTTATTTTTTTTATTGTTGATATCTAGTATATGATCTAACCTACAGTACGCGCTTAAAAGACCCTATTTGTTGGAGCGCGCACTATTACACCAACAAAATGGTCAAAATCAAATCTAACGCCGCGATTGAAATAAAATGGTGTTAATATCAAGGAGGTTTTTTATCTCTTGCATCCTGACTACTGTACTTGGATGGTGAAGTCACAGACAGCGACTTCATTGTTGTGAGGGACGGCCTTTTGTTATATACTTCACGATCTTCATACTGTACTATGAAGCGTAAAGCTCAGAGGGATTTCTGATGTTGGCTATAATTTATATATTCGTTGGTGTGACGACCATCCAGCCATGATAGAAGGTTGGAAATATGTGGGTGTGTATGTCCTCACGCACTTGGTAGTGCATTTGAGTAAGAATCGCATGTTTATAGCTGGCGTCAGCAACTTGATTGTGTCAACGCAGATAAAATTAGAACCGCATATGTGTCAAATTTTACACAAAGTCGGAAATAACATCATAACATTCCCAGGATCGCTGGTGATACAAACAGGTGCAGTGACCAGCCTCAGAAATAAGGAGAAACTTTCAGAACACTGGATTAGCCATGCTTATTATATAACAATTGTTTTCATACGTTGCTTTGCATATCTTGTTTATTCTAAAGACTTCAAAACGTCAATAAGCATATTTATCGATAAGTCATATGATAGACGAAAGACGTGATATTTAGCTCAAACACTCCCACCAGGAGTGCTGACTCTGCTGGGAAATGTCGACTTTTCGACTATTATTATTTTTATTTTTAAAACATGTCATCTGGTAACCTTATTTCTATTCTACCTTTCTTACAATTAATTTCGCTACCATTGAATTCTATGGAAGCACGGCACACTGTTGTTTAGCGATAAGTATACATAATATTATTATATAGTGTACCACAAACAAAATAGTGGAATAATTTTTCAATTTGGTAGTAAGTATTACATATCGAATGAAAATAGTTGAGGGGCAGGGAGAAGCTTTGTCATGTATACAATAAGGACGTTCCATATGCAAATATAACCGGCTGACAGCGTGGGTCTGACCGCCCGCCAGCCGTTCACATCCGCTCACTTTTGCATGTTTTTAAAAGTTTCTCAGCTCTTCGAATTTTCTACGTTTAGCCGACATATCAGAACTGCCTGGGGAGTGATCATATTAGTGAATTATAATAATCGATCATTTCTATATTACCATTGCAGCAGGAAATACAGAAACCATACCTAGATTTTTTTTTCTTTTACTGGGAATAGCCCACCCGGGCACACGTCATCGACCCACAATTGGGCCGAGGGGGCGAAAAAATAAGAGTAAAAATACATTAAAAATAGAAAGAAAAAGATTATATTAATCTACACCACGAAGATGCCGGAAGACCAGCTTTTTGAAGTGAGACTTTGTATGAGTATGGAAACACAGAAGAAGGCAGAGCATTCCGCAGTTTGGCTGTGTGAGGAAAGAAGGATGTAGATGAAATGGTTCGATATGTAGAATGTTACATAATGTATCTACGAAAAACTTATTCCTTAGCCATCCCCATTACCCTTTTCGTTCTTTGTCACAGTCAGCATTAGAATGTGTCTATACTTCCTTCTCTGAGAGGTAACTGGGTGCTAGGCTTATTTACTCGCATGCATATCACGTCCTCTCGCTCCTAGCCTCTTTATAAGGATAAACAACTCGCTAGGCACCTGACAGTGGCCTTCACAGTACTCCTCACACCTGTTTTCTGTACGTGAAATGTGCCAGAAATAGAGCTGGGATTCTGAAAGATTTGCACGTCAATGCTGGGAATTAAAAGAACATAACCATTTATTTATACTTCAAGTTATTAGTTGTTTGATTTGATTTTTATTGTCGTCGACGGTAGTTTTTGTAGTTGATGGTGTTTTTTCCGTTACTAAACCCGTGTCTGTACTGGTATTATTGACCACATTATTATTGGATCAGCTTAACGCTATCCTAACCTGACCTAACCGAACGCCCCAGATAGCGTGAATTATTATTACTGTTATTTTATTATTGTTTTATTATTATTATCAACATGTAATGAGTGTCAGATACTGCAATATGATAATATAGAACAGTTACACCACAAAACGTCATAGTTTTCCTGGGCTGTATTGAACCCCCAACTGGGACAACATGATATTCCATTATTTTGCAGTAACATTGTATGTTACTGAATCATGTTGCTGAATCAATATACGAGTATTATCATCAGGATCTATTCCAGTTACACACATTTACTTCAAGCTGATGGTCTGAAATTCCATGGATCACATTTTTTTTTACTTGATACGACTGATTACTGGAGTATTCCTAAATGGTTAGTACGGTACAGTTCAGTTGGCACTTTCCCTGTGGTCTAGAGGTGCTCTTAATGGAGATAGTTTATTAAAGGCCTTGCCCACACCACCCATCACTGCTCACCTCCCGCCCTACCCACCAACCCTCCTGTTCTGTCCTTCACTCCTCTTGCCTTGCCCACCACACCTCACTTTCTACCCATACCATAACTAGCACCTATGATTAGAGTGTACATAAACCAAAAAGATTGTGAATTCTCAGAGTTTTACGTGCAAAACTGATGAAGACAGTGTTCATTTTAACAAACGACAAAAAAAATGTTCAGAATTTACCAGTTCGATTTCTCATTATTACTATTTATGGCAACTGGAAGAGACTCGAGGATACAAATGGCATCAGTTCAAGATATCCCACGTCTTAGTATACGCACATTTTCTTTGTTGGAATTTTGTCCGGACATAAATTATTGTACAGCATCCAGCAGCTAACTCAGCTGTACATTGATCTCATTAGCCGCTGAATAATTAAAATACAGTAATGTATATATATATATATATATATCTTGATAAAATCACACGGGAAGATGGAAACAACGGAGTACCTTAACTTTCGTCTTTATTCAAGACATCTTCAGAGGCAACTGGATTACATGGACAGAGAGAGGCTTAAATATACAGGTCAAAATGATGACATCCACTAATCCCCACACCAACACACACGTAGAGGAGCTTAAGAGAAGGGAGGTGACGTGACTAGACAAGTCAGGTCAGAAAAAAGGGGGCCCACAAAATAACTATCATACATCTAGATCAAAGGTTTTCAAAGCATTTTTAACCTTGGGCCACTGACAAATAAATTTATGTAACATATTATCAGTTTTGAACTGACCCTCTCTCTGTCCATGTAATCCAGTTGCCTCTGAAGATGTCTTGAATAAAGACGAAAGCTAAGGTACTCCGTTGTTTCCATCTTCCCGTGTGATTTTATCAAGATTTATCTTATCCACGTTTTCATTGTGGATTTACATGATATATATATATATATATATATATATATATATATATATATATATATATATATATATATATATATATATATATATATATATATATATATATATATATATATATATATATATATATATATATATATATATATATATTATTTTTTTACGGGATTAACCCACCTGGCACAGGTCACTGACCCACATCAGGCTGGGGACGTAATAATAATAATAATAATAATAATAATAATAATAATAATAATAAAGAACCATAAAGAAATGCAAAAATGAAAAAAAAATCAAAAGTGAGAAACAATATGTGTAAGTTGTGTTGTCAATAGTAAGAGAAACAATTGAGACCCTGTAATTGTGTGTAAATGAGGCAGAAAGTCAGATTAGCAACCCGGGACTTGGTCATAATTTTCGTGATTCCATATGGCAGCAGGGTCTACCATTAGACAACAATATGCTTCCAATATCTTCCCAGGCGGTAGTACCTGACCTGTTTGATAGCGAAGGTTATTTATGAATTAAATTTACTGTACAGGTACATCATAATCGGCAACTGGGGACCAGTTTATATGTACAGTACTGAGGTTATAAAAAGTGGCACAATATTTGTTGGTAAATTAGGTGAATGACGTTATGAAGTGCATCAGTAAATTTTTGGTCATTATTGTTGCTTCAAAAGGAAGATTAGAAACAAGGTCAGACGGTAACACCCCAGTCCGTCTAATCCCATATCCTCTACTTCCCATTAGGTTAGGTAAGGTCATCATTAACTGACATCAAACATTCTGGGAATATGTGACATTCTCATAGTAGACAAAGTGGGCAAAAAGCAGTCAAACACCAGCTTCAAACGAATGCATAATGGTATCATAACAATGCCTATAATTTTAAAACAAGGTTTTATTTTAGAGTGCAGATATTTATCCACTTTATGTAAAAGAAATGGCGGATTTATTTTTCAGACTCGGGCATTAAACAAATTGCATAAGTGTCAGACGCTAGGATACAATGTAGTAACAGAAGAGAGAGAGAGAGAGAGAGAGAGAGAGAGAGAGAGAGAGAGAGTATATCCATTATACAATTTCACACTATTCAACGTCGCCAGTCTCACGTATTTGCACTGACTGTGCACATAACCACTTGGAAGTCTCCCCTGTGACCTTTGCCCATAGTCCAATGTTGACCAAAATTTTACTTTTCCTGTTCTAAGCTTAGGCCGATAAGCTATGGAATATATTTAACAGTTGGATTAAATTTGCAGACAAACCAGTGAGATCAATATACTGTTCAGTAAAGTACAGATTTGCCAAGTATTGTACAGTACTATACTACAGTACTGTATTGTACAGTACTTGACAATTCTTCAAAATTGCCAGGTAATTACTTTTACTTTTATCCTCTTCACCACTGATCGGCTCGTTAGCAGCTTGGGCGATCAGTCACGTCTCTGTTACACACTGTTGGCAAGTACTGGGCATGCACCGGCTCCTGAATGTACCTGAACCTGCTCCAGTGTTGGTCAAATCTGGTCTTGAAAGAGCTCATACTCGGTGCCGTCACAACACTTTCTGGCAGATTGTTACAAGAGTTCACAACTCTCACTCAGAAAAAGTTTGCCCTCACAGTTTTCTGGACCTGCGGCTTCTTCAATCTTGAGCTGTGACCCCTTGTGGGGCGAGCGTCTGCCAGCTCAAGTAAGGACACTCGACTGAGTAGTGCCCCTTGTGATGCTTATACACCTCAGTTAGGTCGTCCCTTGCCCGTCTGTAGTATAAGCTAGGCAAGTTCAGGCGCTCCAATCTCTCAGGGTAGTTGAGGTGTCGAAGAGCAGGCACCAGTCTGGTGGCTCTCCTTTGAACATTTTCAACCAACTGACAGTCCCTAGCATATCTCAGGGACCAGACGGGGTGACAGTACTCCAGATGGGGTTAGCACTTCACTCTTGAAGATCGTTATGAGGGACGGACCGTCTAGATATCTGAACGACCTTCTTATAAGACCCAATAATTTATTTGCCTGATTTACCTTCTTCTCGCAATGGCCCGGGAATTTCAGCTCATTGTCAACATATACACCTAGGTCCTTCTCACATTGAGTCTCAAATAGTGCAGTTTCTTCATCCCTTTGGGACATATGATACGCCTCCTTACCGTTGGTACGCCCCAGGTGCATCCTCTTACACTTCGTGGCATTGAATCTCAGCAGTACTGGGTATTAGTCCATTTCCATAATTACCAGGAGCACTTTTCATATCAGTCAAATTTTATATACACATACAGTATCTCTCATATGTCCATGAGTGATTCAGTAATATGAGTATGACAAGTGTTATTAATATTTTAGGACTGTACAGTAATTAATAAAATGTAACCACACTGAATATTTTGTAAGGTTTGTTCTCGGAGCAATGGGTAATGTTTCCATACCTTAAGCACCATTTGCTTCCTTTGAAAAGATATCAGTATACTCCTTAATCTTTTAAATTTTTTATGTTCTTATAGAATATATGCAGTATTTTTTCAAGCGTACAGATAACTACCAGTAGCATAGCCCATTACAATTAATAATATCCTCTGCATAAGTATATTACAGTACTGTATTTAATTACCAAATAAGACTACTGTACTAATACAGAGTTCAACCAACAGGGATGCTGTTTTGCAGTCGTGTGAGCTCCAAGTTTCTGAGAGCAAAACTGATGACAAACAGTTACTAAGTACCACATCTGATGATGGACAAGATGGAACAGGTCAGAAGTTGAACTCTTGTGATGTGGGTAGCAGTGCTATGGATCAAGACAAACCTCCTTCACTAGCAGTGAGCAACACAGTGCTGGATAAAAAAGATCCATATCATTTGAAGGATACTGAAGAGCCTCTACCTGATGACAGACAGTTACGAAGCACAACCTCTGATGATGTACAAGAAGGAACAAGTCAGAAGTTGCTTGCTAACTCTTATAGTGAGGGTAGTAGTGATGTACATCAAGACAGACCTCCTTCACCAGGAGTGAGTAACACAGTGCTGGATAAAAAAGATCCAAATTATTTGAAGGATACTGAAGAGCCCCCACCAACTCCGATGAGTGAATCTGGCATAGATATAAAGGAAATTTCAGTTCTAGAAATTAATCCACCAAGGAACAGTGAAGAATCATCTCTTTCTGAAAATGATACCCCAAAGAACAAGGAGGACTTGGGGGCTCAAATTAAAGATTCCTTACAAGTATCAGAGGCTCCTCCAGAGAGCACTCCCCCATACAATATTGTGGAACTAGTACCTGACAATAAAGAAAGTGCAGAGAATAACTTTGTTAAAGACAATGAGCCTCTTAAAATGAATAACATTAACACTGATTATAAACAAGTATCTCTTCCAACAAATGGTGAAGAATACCCACCATCTTCACAAAGTGGTCCAGGGAAGGACAGTGAGGAACATCCTGCACCTCCATTTAGTGCACCCCCAGAGGATGGTGTTATACCACCACCACTTCCATCTGATGAACCACCAGATGATAGTGATGTGCCACCACCACTACCAGAAAGTGAGCCCCCAGAGGACGAGGATGAGCCGCCACCACTACCAGTGAAGGAAGTGTCAAGTGTCAATGAAAAACCTCCCCTTCCTCCCAAGAGTGATTTGCTTAAATATAATATTAAAAAAAATACTGCAGAGCAACCATTACCCATATCACCATTTTCCATTTTTGATAGGGAGAGTAAAGATGTTAAGTTGAAAGATTCAGAAGGAGATGGCATTGTTGCACAACATCACACAGAAGGAAAGCATTTACCCATTGTTTCAGGTGATTCATCTGGCAGTTGTGAAAAATCTGATGTACTTCATGGGTCTGCGCCCCATTTACTAGATGCCTCACACAGTGAACCAAATGGAAGGTTTCAGGGATCATCACCCTCCTTCCTCAATACATCTTTTGATAGTGGTGGTGCCACAGTCTTGGTGCCACCATCTCCAGCACGCCGTCTTTCACGTGGAGATGACAAAGTCACTAAGTCTAGTGTTTCGCAGTCGAGTTTGATGAACACTTCATATGAGAGTGGTGTTAAAGGGGCTGAACACAAATCATTACTATCCACCCCTGGTGCTACTTCAGCTGTAGCAGTTGGTGGATCATTACCAACCTCTCCTTCTACCCCTCGTCGAACACGCCGACCTCATCCAGTGCCTGCTGCTCGCTCACTTCAGACTCTCAGCACTGCCAGTAAGTCCTCAAAGATACTAAACAAAATCATTGTACAAAGATACAATTAGCGGTACAGTGCAGTACACTATATTGTACCGTACATGTCTTGCTTTGTATGAAGGATTTGTCCTGAGATTCATAATTTAAGACAATTCATGATGCCCATTGACTATTGATCAGCATATCAGTAACTTACAATCTTGAGTAACTTTTTAATAATTTGAGAGAAAATTAAGGCACAGACATTTAAATTGTGTACGTATATACTATTTTCTGTTAAAAATTTATTCTTAAATCACTTTGTAGGTAACCAAGAAGACAGGTTTGGAACAGAATTTTGAATCATTCAGATTATTGTAAATTTTATTGGTAAACAGAGTTTTTAAATATTTTTTTATATCATTACTACAAAGAAAGTGGTCTCATGAAAAAATAAATATTTTAATTTTACAATGAACAGCTATAATAATTTTGTTAAGTCTGTTATACAGTACAGTACAGTACATATTGTACTGTTCAGCTCTTTACTTATCGGTACTTTACTTTATCCTTTTCACCAAGTTAAAAACATAGCCACCAAAAATTTCTACCACAAAACGGTTTTATCACATTTTTATACTGTTCAGTACTGGGATTTGGAGTCACTGTAAATGTCCCTTTATGTTAAAACTTTCATGTACTCTGAGGTCAATTGATAAAATACTCTAGTAAAAATATTATTGTACAGTAATTTCAAATTGAAAAAAGAATCAGATCTCAAACCTCTTTCACATTTTTTTTTCTGTGCAGTATGTACTGTACTGTCTTTGATATTTTTGTGATGAAAAGTCCTATTTATTGTAATACTAGACAGTACTGTATATCATACCGATTCTTATTTCACAAATTTGTGAGACGATTTTCAAAAGCATGCTGTACATGGTTACTATTGAATGATATACCCAATGGGTGTATTCAGGCTGACTCATGATTGTTCGCACAATACAGTGTACACTTTCAATTACTGCATCCATCTTAATGGCTCCTTAATCAGCCTTGTCTCTGAAATCTTGGGTAAATTGTTTGAAGTTCATATTATCTATACAGTATTTTTTTCTCGAAATGCTGTAGAACAGTTCATAGAATTATAAAACCTCTGTTTAATTATAGTGCATTTTATCGCAGCTGAGAAGAGATGTCCCGCCCCCTCCTCAAGAGTTACAGTTGATTGGCTGTTGCAAATCTGTTCAATTTCGTCCTGAAGTACTGATGTATTTCTAAATGAGTTTATTCATAATCGTTGGGATGACCGTTTCTGACGAGAAAGATATTTAGCTAAATTATATAAAGACACATACATTCATTCTGTCAAACATGAGCATGTAGGAAGTTTATCAGAAATTTTATATTATGTGGCTAGAAATGTCATTGTTTACACGGCGCTCACCTCTTCCTGGGTGGGAGGTAGAGCTGGTGCCTCTTCCTGGGTGGGATGTAGGGCAGGTGAAGGGTGTACCGCTGCCTCCTGGCTCTGTGTCGGTGCTCTTGCTTCCACTACCCTCCCCCAGGATATAACCCACGTACACCCGTCCCCTTTCCTCCTCGACTCCTCCCTCCTCTGCTTCAAGCCCTGCAGGAGCTTCTTGTGCTGTTCCCTCTGCATTACCATGAGATCTGGGTGAATGAATACATTCCAAAATGCCTCGCTCCTTGCTTAAGTTTTTTGCCTGCCGAATAACCTCCCATTTCTTCTCCTCACTCGCTAGTGTGATCCTGACGGTGCGAGGCTTGTCCCCCTGCTTTTGTCCCAGCCTCCTCACATTCTGAGGGGGGGATGGCATGTTCAGGACCTCTGTACAAATAATCTCAAACTTCATCTTGTCGTGTGTTTTCCTACTCTCAGCTTCCTCCGACTGGCTCTCAGGGACTCCATAAACTATTATGTTGTTCCTGCGCTGGAAACGTTCCTGTTGTTCTTCCTCTCCCCTAACAGTAGGTCTGCTAGTTGCCATCTCTTCGACACACTTCTTCAGAGTCCTTAGCTGCTGTAGAATCTGCTCTGATCCTGCATTACTCTCCACCACTTTCTGTGACCCTTCTAAGGCCTCAGCATAACTTCTCTTCACTACCACCTCTTTCCCAACTTGTTATAGTTTGGCAACAGGCAAGGATCCAGTTTCGTCTATTTTCGTCTCTCGGAAACTCGTTCCCCTGTAGCTTGCAGTTGCCTCTTTCACCTTGACTAGGCAGTCACGACGATACCAGCAACAGCCTTTATGCTTCACCGTATTCTGTACCATCCTAAACGCTGCATTTGTTAAGCCCATACAATCTACATGCAACGTCGCCCTGCAGTAATCGCATTTCAGTCCTCGAGAAAGCACACACACACAAAAGAAAGAAAAAATCTTTGTGGCACCAATAATACGACTTGGGTACTGGTGGCAGTGGTGCCTTAATTGCTTGCTCCAACTTGTTCTTCACTTCAAATTATTTACAACCTCCTCCATGGTCACTGATGTCGCTATGAACTGTCTTGGCTAAAGGCACAATACTACACTCTCTGGTTGGCCTTTGGATGGTCAATCAGTCATGAGCACAACTCAAAAAATAAAAAATAAAAATCTTGTCATATGACAATGATTTTATGGTTGTATGCCTTCTGACCTAGCTGTAACTTTTGAGGAGGGTGCGGGGCATCTTTTCTCAGCTGGGAAAAAACGCACTCTAGTATCCTGACCATGTGGCATCTTTAGTACAGTATTAAATAAGATTTTTTTTTAGCTGGATATGTTTTTTAAAACACTGGGTATTGCTACAGTACAGGTGATTTGTGAGCTGATCGGAAAAAGTCACAGAGCCAAAAGGTGGCACATAGTTGGTTATTTCATATACAGTACAGTACCGTACTGTATAAGGTTTTAATTTATTGTCACATCATTTCATCCTCATTCAGCAAATTCTAGCATTAAGAATTTGTAATGCAATCATTCTTTAATTTTTATGATGTGTTGAACATTTCATTTATTTACTATAATATTTTACATTTTTAAATTAACTAGTATTTTATTTGCAGCTCCATCAAAAATGACTGTTCCCATCTCGGACAAGGAGGAGGGCATGAAAAGAGATATAGGTGATCTGCCTAAACAGCCTCCTGAACCTCAAGTTGAAGCCCCCAAACGAGAGAAACATACAGAAAAACCTCCTATACCTCCAGTACCAAAGCCAAGAAAAATTGTGTCTTTAAATCCCTTTGAGAGTGATGAGGATGAGGAAACTGAATGCCAGCAAGCATTGCCACCAAAACAAATTCCAATACCAAAGCCTAGAAAAATAGTTTCACTGAATCCCTTTGATAGTGATGATGATAATGAATCAGAGACACAAAAAGACAAAGACACAAAGGCACAAGTCCGGCAGTTCCCAGGTCCTACTCACACCGCCACGGTAACAGTGCCAGTTATTGGTAAGAATCCTTTTGATGATGATGAAAATGAAAATTCTTTTAGTGAGACAAGTAACATCACTCGAGAACAGGAGTTTAGACCAATACGAGCCTCTTCTCCGTCAGTTACTCCTATGACTTCAAGTTATCCATATCTCTCACCACAGCATCTGAATGATTCCTTAGCCTCAATTAACTCCCAGTCATTTAAAGGTGCAAATGAAAGCACATCAACAAACCCATTCGGTGAAGATGATAATGATGATGATGACGATGATAGCATACACAATGGACTGACTCGAGAAGCAAGGTCAAGAAAATCCTTCTCTGTGATGAGTTCATCCCCCTTACAACGAGATGGAGTGAGATCATCCTTACCTCATACAGCTAGAATCATGACAGGAAGAAAGAAGAGGCAAGCACCACTTCCTCCAAGCCCTGTAAGAACAATATGTATTTTATTAATGACTAACTTTTATCAGTTATACAGTACAGTGTATGGAGAAAGAGAGAGAGAGAACTCTAAATGAGGTAGAGATAGGAGGGGGATGTATTGGGGAATAGTTACTGTAAGCTGACAATATTGTATGGGTGTGAATCACTGACTCAGGATGCTTGAGGAAGAAACATGTAAGAAACGGGGGAAATTATGTGCATAAAAGCAGTATATGGTATGAATTGGATGCAAGGAATGAAAACCACAAATATGAGATGCAAAAGTGAAAGGAGTGTCAGAGAGGCAACTAGGGTTTGCAAAGGTAATACTGTAATACTGTACAATATACATGTAGACATATGATGGGAATGGGCAGTGAAAGATTGGTACTAAGATGGTAAGAGAGTGAGGGGAAGACTGAGTAGATGGAAGGATAAGGTGAGGGAGGTTTTGTATTGGATGGAAGAGGACTGGACCTCCAGGGAGCAGAAGTGTGCATACATGATTGGAAGAGTATGATGTAGTGTATTTTTATTTGATGATAGACACACAGTTGTGTAATGCTAGGATGATGTATGAAGAGGTAGAGGCTAATTATGTGGATACCATAGGACATTGTTGTGGAAGGAAAAAATAATATCAGCAAGAAAGAATGGCTGGCAGTAAATAAGTGTCTGCATTGCTTTTGGTTTGGCCAACCTTGTGCGAAATGGAACAGGGTTTGCAAAATTAAAAACAAAGTAAACATACTACAAAAAAAGATACCGACTGATTTATCACCAGTGAAGTATTAGAGCACCATGGATTTTTCCAATTCCTCATCTTTCATTTGACATATAAATATATGTAATCTTATAATCCCACCAGCCTTTATTACAAATAAAATGTTAAAATTTTATACAACAGAATCTCTCAATACTGTACTGTATACCATGTCATTAGCTGTTACTCTTATTACAGATATATATTTTAGTACAGTATTGCATGTACAGCCGGGGGAATTTCCGAGTGCTACACCCACCCATGAATTCGAACCCTAACAATATTATTATTAAAAAATAAATAAAAAAAGACATTTATAAAACCACTCTGGTTATAATACTTCCATTCACTTACTTTTCTTTTATCCTCTTCACCACTGATCGGCTCGTTAGCCGCTTGGGCGATCGGTCACGTCTCTGTTACGCACTGTTGGCAAGTACTGGGCATGCACCGGATCCTGAATGTACCTGAACCTGCTCCAATGTTGGTCAAGTCTGATCTTAAAAGAGCTCACATTCGGTGCCGTCACAACACTTTCTGGCAGATTGTTCCAACAGTTCACAACTCTCACTCAGAAAAAGTTTGCCCTCACAGTTTTCTGGACCTACGGCTTCTTCAATCTTGAGCTGTGACCCCTTGTGGGGCGAGCATCCGCCAGCTCCAAGTAAGGACACTCGACTGAGTAGTGCCCCTTGTGATGCATATACACCTCAGTTAGGTCGCTCCTTGCCCGTCTGTAGTATAAGCTAGGCAAGTTCAAGCGCTCCAATCTCTCAGGGTAGTTGAGGTGTCGAAGTGCAGGCACCAGTTTGGTGGCCCTCCTTTTAACATTTTCAACCAACTGACAATCCTTAGCATATCTCGGGGACCAGACAGGGTAACAGTACTCCGGATGGGGTTAGCACTTCACTCTTGAAAATCGTTACGAGGGACGGACCATACAGATATCTGAACGACCTTCTTATAAGACCCAATGATTTATTTGCCTGATTTACCTTCTTCTCGCAACGGCCCGAGAACTTCAGCTCATTGTCAACATATACACCTAGGTCCTTCTCACATTCAGTCTCAAATAGTGCATTTTCTTCATCCCGTTGGGACATATGATATGCCTCCTTACCGTTGGTATGCCCCATGTGCATCCTCTTACACTTTGTGACATTGAATCTCAGCAGCCATTTCATTGACCATTCTTGGAGCTCACAGAGATCCTTCTGCAGCTCTTCACAGTCCGCATGGTTCTTGATTTCCCGAAATAACTTGGCGTCATCGGCAAACATTTGTATGGAGGAGCGTACAACGTCAAGCATGTCATTTATGAAACAAACAGACAACAGCCGGCCCAATACACTGCCCTGTGGTACCCGACTTGTGACAGGTACAGATGACGATTTCGTGCCATTAATCACCACACACTGCTTGCGGTCATGTAGAAAGTCTTCTATCCATGCAAGGACATTTCCCCGAATTCCGTACCCTTCCAGCTTGATTTTCAGCCTTTCATAGGGTACACTGTCGAAAACCTTGGCAAAATCTAGATAAATATTGTCGATATTACCACCCCGATCTAGAATATGGGTCCAAATATCCAATACCTTGAGCAATTGTGTTAAGCAGGAGCGCCCCGGCATAAAACCGTGTTGGCAATCCTTTACAAGGTTGTTTCGTATTAGATGTTCCATTGCGGCATCTCTGATAATACTCTCAAGTACTTTACATATTATGCTGGTCAGTCTCGCCGGTCTATAGTTGTTCGTGGAGTGACGATCGCCCTTCTTGAAGGTAGGACTCACATAAGCCATTTTCCAATCACTGGGGACCTTTTCTTACTTCATTTACAAAACAGGATCTTCAGGGGCTCGGCAAGATCGTTACACAACTCTCTTAGCACTCTGGGATGCACCATGTCAGGGTTGGGACCCTTATGGACCTTTAAGCTTTGACAGTTTATTTCTAATACCCTCTTCTGTGAACACAATGTGGGTCAGTGCTGTGTCGAACCGTCTGTCCTCAAACGCAAGAAGGTTAATCGCACCCTCTCTTGTGAACACCGAGGAAAAGAAGCTGTTGAATGCCTCAACTTTATCCTGGTCAGAATCTGCATAACTACCATCTTTAAGCCTCAGGTCTGATACTCCTACTCGCATTTTTAATTTCGACTGTACTACCCACAACAGTATGCTTTGGTGCTACAATATATTGTAATAATAATAATAATAATAATAATACAGGTAATAAAAAAAAATTAATTAAAATAATAATAAAAAATAATACAGTAACAAAGAATCATAAATAAATACAAAATGAAAAGAAAAAAGACCAAGAGTGAGAAATGATAAATGTATGGTATTGTCAACAATTGAGACCCTGCAATTGTGTAAAGGAGGCAGAAAGTCAGTCAGAACAGCAACCTGGGACTTGGTCAAAATTTTTTGGATGCCATATGGCAGCAGGGTTTACCATTAGACAATACATTATGCTTCCAGTATCTTCCCAGGCAGTAGTACCTGATATACACAAAAATAAAAAAATACTGATGAATTGAGCTCAAATAGAGGCTGTAAAGAAATATGACCAACAAATTATCTTAGTGGCTCTTTTGTTACATACAAAAGAATTAAGAGGTAGTCCAGGAGTAGACATAACATAAATGCTGACTTTTATATTTACAGAGGCCACCCGCATCGAGTACTTCATCAAACGATCGATTTGGACATGATACTTCTAGTTTGTCAAGAGGTGGATCACCTTTATCATTCAATCAGGGAGCCCAGAGAAAAGATTCTACGGCATCCACAAGCAGTCTTACAACATCACCGAGAAAGACTGCACCTCCCCGTCCTCCTCCTCCAAAAGTGAAAAATGATTCTCCAACTAAAAAATAGATATATAAATAGTGTACAGTACTTCAGTGTGTATATAACAATGATATGTTGTAAGTGTGTAAAATGCACTTATTAAGGATACAATATTTAGCTATGGTATGTACAGTTGGGGGTCAAAAGTTCACTCTCTCCCTAAATGAAGCAGGGTCGACCCCAAATGAGATACACACAACAGTTAGGGTAAGTCAGTTCGTAGACTCATTCCCGTGACTCAGTTTCACAGCGGGGAGCGAACTTTTGTCTGTGACTGTACAGTACTGTACTCAGAAGATTCCAAAAAGCATGAAACAGTATTTTAGATTCAGTTGATACATAATACAGTACAGTATATACAAATTCTTGAAGTTATCCTTTCTGATGTAAAGTACAGTATACAGGGGTATTACAAAATGGAAAGTAATATTCTGGTTGGGTGTATTATCCATAAAGAAAGAGCCCTTGTTTCTAAGGCAATAAATATTATGATATTTTGTGTTGGAAATAATGTTTTGTATATGCAGTGAACCCTCGAAGATCCGGACTCAGTAAATCTGAATTTCGGAAGATTCAGACAAAAAATATGGGGATTCTGGGCTAAGAAGCTTCCCAGAAGCCAACCTAAGAAACATTCCTAAAACACAGCAAAGAACATTTTAGGCCTGTAGGCGCTGGTTGATCGGTCGGTCGCGCTGGACACAGGTACTCGAGGAGGTGGGAAACAAACAGAAACATAAACAGAGTTGTCAATTTTGTTTGTTGGATTTTTTCATTCACTCAAATATTAATACAATGTTTTTTATTATGTTATCATAGGTAAATGCATGGTTTATATAATTTGTCTATCACTGTGACTGTTACCCTTTTCAAATTAGACTACAAGATACGTATTTCTCCCATACTTATTTCGATCGTACGCCTGCCAACAGGTGCGAGTAAGGGGAGTGAGCGAGTTGAGTGACCGCTAATTGAATGTTGTCTGCTCTTGTAACTCTCCTCCCTCCCTGCCATATTTCACTGGATTTACTGTTTTTATTAGTCTTTACTGATATAATAGTGCTTAATGGTGATTAATCATGGCATTGTAGCCAAGTTAGACTCGTCACTGTAACTGCCAAGCACGTGACCGATCGCCCAAGCGGCTAACGAGCCGATCAGTGGTGAAGAGGATAATAGTACCGGGTAAATGTATAGTAGTTTTTTTCAAATCGTATTTTTGGGTAGATACAGTATACGTAACTTTCTTCATTTATTTTTATTCAGTTACATGCACACACCATCCTAAATACATATTGTGAAAAAAGTAAAAGAAATAATTGTCCAAAGAGCAAACACATAACAGGAGGAGAGCACAGAGTGTAGCAAGTAGGGAGCATTGCTAGGGTATCGGCGTCCCAGCTGGTCTTCGTTACTGTGGTGAACCAGAGAGCATATGCAAATGGCGACTGTGTTATACTTTCATTTGGCTTTAATTTACTGATTTGGCAATACAGTATTTTTTGTTGTAACTTATTTATTGGTATTACATGATTTTTATTTATTCATCACATTTACTGGTACTGTGTATATTATTTTAAGAAAACCATATCTACTGGAGGAAATTACACACAAAAGTTTTTTCCTAAATACACTCTGCTAAAATGCCAAAAATTGCTGTATGCATTTTTGGGGTGTTTTTAAATAATTATTTATCGTTTTTATACATTTTTTTACATTCGTCGTAAGATTTGGACAATTGGCTTTTTCGGACAGGTGGTCCCCCCCTCCCTTAGTCTTGATTTTCGAGGGTTCGCTGTACCAGTATTAATTAATTTTGATATACCAAAGTGGAATATAATATTGTTGATATGTGTTTTTTCTCTACTTTCTAAGCAGGTGACAGATGCGGAGTCAATTAAAAAAATAGTTACATGTACAGTACTGAGTATCTCCTCACTTTTAAGTACTAAAGACCCAACATGAGTACAGTAATGTACTCAAAAATGTGCTAAAGAATGTAACATGTTGGTTGGTAAACATTTAGAAGAGGAAGCAGCTGCCACTTGTCTTATTTACTTTTACATACAGTATATATATATATATATATATATATATATATATATATATATATATATATATATATATATATATATATATATATATATATATATATATATATATATATATATATATATATATATATATATATATATATATATATATATATATATACGTATAGTTTTTTAATCCTAATTATTAATCTAAACTTTTTTACATATGTACTTTACATGATATCTATGCATAACTAACAGTACATAAAAATATTTATTTATAGCTAATACAGTAGTATAATATTTCCTGCACTTACAGCGGGAGACACTTTAGTGTTTATACATCTCCACACATTCCTGTGTCATACAACTAATACGATCACTCAAATTTTTTGGGAATATTCTGCTTTACATGCTTCATAAGTAGCTGATTCCTATCTTCAGTAAAAATACTTGCAAATAGAATGTGAAAATAATGAGAGAAATATCAGCAACCAAGGTGACCTAAGGAAATGAGAGCAAAGTGAATTTGATAGATTGAGATGTAAACAATACATTGGTGGTACTGTATACTGTTCTGTATTTGAGAATACAGTACATTATGTGACAAATGAGACAAGAGAGCAGTGCTGAGGGCAAGTGTAGGACAAAAGCCCCCAGACAAAAATAAAATATAATAAAACAGGACAAAAGCCCTAGGACAAATACTACACTAATGATATATATATTTTTTTTATATCATTACACCTGATCCTCGCTTAATGCAATGGTTGCATTCTGCAACAACATAGCATAATGGGAATCCACATACAGTATACCGTAGTGAATACTTAATCTTAGTGGGGAAAATTAGGATATGCTCCACAACTACTAAATCATTACAATACTGTACTATACTCTAATGTGTGTTAGAAATAAAGATAATACAGGTATAATCTAAAACCATAAACTTAGACATGTGAAGAGTATGGGTGCTTGTGTGGAAAGTGAAAGTGTGTGGAGTGGCTGACTCATTACTCCAGCCACGTCCTGTCATGTCACATACAGTGCAATAGACACACACCCACACACTGTACTATAAAAGTTGTAGAAAAATCATTAAAATACTCTAATGTGACTTAGAAATAAAAATAATATAATATAAAACTAGTGTGCCATATCTTTTATAGAACACATAATAGGGATTCTTTTCCATATAAAAATGAATTATGGGCAGAAATAGGGTCACCGCATAAACGCAAATTCACATATAGCGAATGCTCATAAAGCGAGGGGTCCAGTGTATTTTATTCTTTCTTATTTACAGTTTATGAACACTTCTCTGACATGTAAAATATTACATTTACCCCTGTATTATATCACAAGACTGCAATACCTAGCCTAACCTATTTTGCACTTTAACTGACAGGCATTTGTCCTACTTTGCACGTTAACTGAGGGTTTTTTGTCCAGAAGCTTTTGTCCAAACCCCACTGAGGGATGAGAACCATTAAAGGGAAAGAAGAGTCCTCACAGAATACTTTTTCTCTTAGGAACTCAAAGCTTTTGTAGTTGTGCTTCTGAAGGGGTAATATGAATAATTGGCATCTATTCTAAAAAATATGTATCCATAAAAGATGCTGAGTACAGTACCTGTACTGTATCCCATTTCCTGCCTTCAGAGTATGGTACAGTACTGTACCGGGTATCTAGAACCCCCACATACTGAGGTAAAAGCACACTTGTTCATACTTAATGTCAACTTGTATCTCTCTTGCACAATATTTCTTGTGCATGTCATTCAGCTTTGCTTTTGGTCTCCACATAATCCTATACAGTACTCTTTAATTTTAAACAAATGTTATCTGTTAAGCATTTTTCACATATCTGTACTATCTACTGATGCTCATGCTGTCTAATACAGGTATACCATCTAAAGAATATTATACTGTACAGTACATAAATATTATGTGAATACTCCTGGAGACACTGAGATTGGATATACCTAATCATACATACTGTGAAAAATTACTGATGATTGTAGAGAAAATTAATTTAGAAGAAATAATAACTTCAGTGGATTGATGTAGGCCATTCTAATTCAGATTATTATCATTTGACATTGGAGGAGGTAACAAGTTTCACAAGATGAAGGTTAAAGAAATTATGTTAATTTTTCATACAGTATATTTTTTTATGTACAGGTACTTAAGTAAGGATAATGAAACTTAAGATCTAACATATGTATTTAAGGGATAGATCTGAATATACTGTATGTCCATAACATTCATACATGCTGAATTACCCTATGTATAGTACTATATAGTGTATTTCATTGAGAATCGCTACTGATTAGGATTAGATGAGTTTAAGTTCATTAAGGAATATTGTACCAGTAATAGAAAAACAAATATAAAAATTTATATTAGATTTATAAGAGAAATTGATTACTGGTAAGTTTACTTCAACGACAAAGTTTGTACATTAAACTGTAATCATCATTCACATCAGATAAACTTAAAAAAGATTTATATTGAACACAAGTCTCTAACTAAGAAAATCCAAATTCACAATTGGCTGCTATAGATGTGGAGGACTGATCCTGGAATCTCATTTTATGACTGAACCTGTAACTGGGTGGCTTTCATAGCAGTATGTATCTTTCTGTGGGGTTCAAGGTCAGGAGACTTAACATTGGGACTGATGTAAGAATCATCTATCCCTGTCATAATTGAGGTGTATAAGCATCTCGAGGGGCACTACTCAGTCGAGTGTCTTTACTTGGAGCTGGCGGATGCTCGCCCCACAAGGGGCCACAGCTCAAGATTGAAGAAGCCGCAAGTCCAGAAAACTGTGAGGGCAAACGTTTTCGGAGTGAGAGTTGTGAACTCTTGGAATAATCTGCCAGAAAGTGTTGTGACGGAACCGAGTGTGAGTTCTTTCAAGACCAAACTTGACCAACACTGGAGCGGGTTCAGGTACAATCAGGAGCCTGTGCATACATCCTCCTGTCCTGACTAGTACTTGCCAACAGTGCGTTACAGAGACGTGACCGATCACCTAAGCGGCTAACGAGCTGATCAGTGGTGAAGAGGATAAAAGTAGAATGGAGATGAAAGTTTCCCCTTCGAGGTAGGAGGTCTACGGTAATATAGCCAATGCCTTAGCAGTGTGATGCAATTCTCATCTCTCCTGATGGGTTGCCTTCTTGAATTTCAGGCTTAACCATCCACTTCAACCACAATTAAATATCCAGCCAACCACCAGCTTTAGGAATAGAAAATGGATCAAGGTGACCTTTGAGGATAGCTGGCTCATGCCAGTGAAGTTAGGCTTGGTCAATACAGTACTGTATTAGTGTAATGGTCAGCATGCTCCAGCAAGTGGACCCGGGTTCGATCCCCGGGCAGGGTTAAACTATGGACAAGTATCTTTATGCCATTTGCCTCTGTTTACCCATCAGTAATTGGGGACCTGGATGTTAAATGATTTGCGGATCGTGTTCCGGGGTAATGGTTAGCCAGTGCAGTTGGCGAGTAGTCCGGTCTTCTCAGACTATTCCTTGACACTGGGTCATGCAACTTGTTAACTTTGGGTGTGGTTGGCGACAGCTTCTACACTTTAAACAAATTAGCGCTTAGGTGACCCTTGGGCTGGCCATCCTCGTTACACTAGGGGCAACCATTATTATTATTATTATTATACCCAAGACTTCTGTACTGTACTGTACCGTACTGTACTAGGCTTTCAAATTTGAAATATTGACATAATCTTTCTTTCCATAATAATTACATGACTTGAATTATTGTCAGGGTTACTAATGTCATTAATTATAATCTAGCTCATGGGAAAATCTAACTTTGTTTCCAGTGTGATTTTTATTTCTCCCCGAGTACCTGTATGGCAGTGGGGACGTTTATGATACAGCAGCAGCACCACACTTGCCTCTCACTACTTTATCCTGGGTTGATCCTTGGGTCTGGTGTGAAAAGAATGTTATCCAGTGTGACCCGACCAAACATTACAGGTTTTCTCTGAGTAATCCAGTTTCTTCCTGACGAACACAGGATCCATTATTGACGAACAAACTTATCAGGAATAAAGAAGGGATTAAATAACCCACCAACTTCCTTCCCATTTCAAAACAGTAAATTAAAGAAAATAAAAATAATTAAGAGTTGAATATACTGTAGATGCTAAATGACTATCTGGATGAAGATGACAATAGAGCAGGTGTCCTTGTGACCCCAGACTGAATTGTGATGGTATTGGAAGATTGTGCATGGATTTCAAGGTTTTTATCCTACATACATATAAGCTTAGAGCTGTGGACCACTATATCAGTTGTGGTAGGGAGGGACAGACAATTGACATAACAATTCCGAACCACTAATGCTATGGATCTCCTGGACCTTGACCTTACAGCAAGGTGTGTACAGTTACAAGAGCCCATCTACAGTAGGGCATCAGATCAGAAATGTCATAGGAAAACAGTTCACTATACAGTACAGTACTGCACTTTATGCTAGTCACTATCTAGAAACTTTGACAATCGATTTTTTTTTCATGGGCATTACCATGAAACACAGAAATCTCTGTAAAGACTACTGTACATTAAACATTTCTTAACAATTTAGTCTGTATCTATTACAACCTCCTGAATTAGTGAACATCTACAGCAACACTTGCATTACCAATGTTTACTTTTTTTTAAAGAGATATTATTCTTTGTTATGATGCATAGTAGGTACACAGATGCTGATGATCTGATTCTTGGCTACTAATAGGATACTTTCCCCTCTGAAAGGAGTCTTGGTTCTTTGTTCTACTATTATCAATGCACCCAGTAATGTACTGTACCTATTTTACTGTTAAGTGTGCAAGGGCTAATATACTGTATTGTATTGTACATGGAAGAAATGCAGAACTACCACTCTACAATGGGCCATAATGGATAGTAACATAGTGATTGGGCAACACTTGTCAAACTTAGCTGTAGAAATAGGCCACATTGTGGCAGAATGGCACAGTATGGTACTTGCCAGTGAAGCTACAGAATTTTGTTAAACGTATTATG